TGCTGTGGGATGACAGTACTGGGGTGGGGGGGGGAGTGTGAGGGATTTGCTCTGAAGCTACATGACCTCTGTTCAGCAGAAAATTTTAGTAAACTGTGTGCTGTGTGCAAATGGCAGAAGATGCATGCTTTCTCGTTCCTGCCTCTTGTTTCACTCCTCTAAAGGTGAAGCTGATAAGCAGGTGGAAGAATCTTGCAGATTTTCTCCAAGGATTTACTATATGTACTTGGAAAGTGGTTTGGATGAGGGGAGGCACAGCAGTAAAAATTCAGAGGTTAGTTCCAGCCAGGCATAGTGCATGCCTGTAATCTCAGCTACTCAGGAGGATGAGGCCGGATGATCACAAGCACAAGGCCAACCTGGGCTGCAAATGAAACCCTGTCTCAAAATTAGAAGAAAAATGGAGAGATGGCTCAGCAGTTAAGAGCACTGGCTGCTCTTGCAGAGGACCTGGGTTTGGTTCCCAGCATCCACATAGTGGCTAACCACAGTCTATAATGCCAGTTCCAGGAGATCCAGTGCCCTCAAGTATTGCAGGACACAGGTGCACTTAGATACCTGCAGGCAAAACACTCAAACACATAAAATAAAAATAAATAAAAAATTAGAAGAAAAAAGTAAAAAGAGAGCTGGAGATGTATAGCTCGGTGGTGGGGTGCTTCCCTAGCATCTCAAGAGGTCCTTCCTAGTTCAGTCTCTCCAGCACCTGCTTTTTTTAAAAGTGCATAGAGTCCCTCAGAGTTCCTTTCCCTGGATGGAGTCCTCCCCACCAATAGAGGGCCTCACACAACAAACACAAGTCCCTGAGATTTGGATCATTTGTACAGAGCCGCCTTCTAGGGTGAGAATGGGGTGAGTCATTCATTTACCTCATTGATCACTTGGGGCTGCCGGCTTTGAAGGTATTTATTCTTCAGCCTGTCACAGCTGCAGATACCTTCTAGCTCCCATGCCTCAGCTGGCTCCCAGAAATCAGTTTGCTCAGCTTCCCGCCAAGTTTCTTGAAATGTGCAGGAGATTGGCACCTCTTGTTGTTATTGCCAGCCCAGGTGCCTCTAGCACCTGTGACTGTTGGCGCCCCTCCCAGCCATCCCAAGAACCCATAAGAGCAGCCCTCCCTTTCTAGGCCTATTTCCAAGGACAAAAGGGGAAAGCATATCTTCCAATGTGACTTTTCACCTCCTGGTTCTGAGCGACCTGGACACCTTGAAGTTGGCCCTAAGGAATCACGCACTTGGATCTAAGCAGCCAGCAGCTTATCACATCTGGCGATTGATCATTCAAAGGCCCTTCCTGAAAGCCAGATTTATGGGTCAGACGCATTCCACCTGGAAGAGACTTCTGATTCAGCTCAGAATGTGGGGAGATGGCTGCCGCTCTTCCAGGGGGAGGCACTCGTCATGACACCGAAAAATGCTCTTACTGGTTCCCCACTCACCCACCCACCAAATCCTTTGTAAGGAGAGTGGAGAGAGCAGGGTTGCAGCCTTCTGCCTGCATTCCTAGACACCGACTCATTGCACCCGCCGCCACTGTAGCATTCGAGCTGTGTGAAATGTCAAAAGGAGTTATGCTTATGGGCTCCCTGGCCCGGGTCTCTTTGTGGCTTGTTTTCTTCCCTCTACACTCTGTTCATCAGATGGAAATCAGAGGGTGCAATTAGAAGATAATTTGCTAGTTCCAGATTTAATTTGGGGGCTCCCTCCTTGCCTGATCAAATTACAGGGGAACATAACAGACTTTTGGTTCAGTAGCTAGGAGGAAAAAGAGCTCCCAGCCCTGCAGCCTGGGGCAGTCCTTTCAGTGTCCTGTGTGTTATTCTTCCCTTCCACCCTACTCTACCCCCTCTATGGCTCTTGTGTGGCCTCCCAGCCAAGATTCTGATTCCTTCAAGGCTAGCCCAAGGACTTTAATCTCAATTTAAGACCCAAAAGTAACAGGGAACCCACTGGTACCCCATAGGGATGAAAAATGTTGACGCTGGAAGCTATTTAGAGCCCTAACCCAAGGCCCAGACAGAGGCAGGGACTTGCTAAAGGCCACATAGCTAGCCGATAGTAGTTGTAACAGTAGTCTTAATGATATTAACAGCTAACATTTATCAAGTCTAAATGTGTTCCAGACGCAGTGCCAAGGGCTTACGTAGAGTGCATTGTTGCATTCAAACCCAGACAGTCTGGCTCTGGGCCCAGGCTGCACTCCAGCATGGTAGAGTGCAGTCTATACTGTCTAGCTTAGGTTCAAACCCTGGCTTCACTTCCTAGTTGTTCAGCTGGATGACTTCAGGAAAGCAATTTAACCTATCTAGGTTCCTTCTTTTCTGAAGAAAGAGTTAGTTATAACACCAACTGATAGTGGGGATTAAACTTCACTCACAGCACTGTAGGCAATGCGTGGAACAGGCTGAATGCCCATCCAGCACTCACTCCACATTGGGGCTTCTGGGACTGGAGCGATGTCTGTGTGGTAGTAGATGTCAGAATTCTGCACAAATTCCAATGCCATGCCTGGACTGTTAGAAGTGGTACGTACACATGATGGCTGATCTCTGTGGCCCTAGAATGCAAACCAGTGGGCAGACTGGCCCGTTGCCTATTTCTGTACTGTCTATGATGTTTACATTTTCAAATGGAAGCCAAAGACCATTTCATAGCACATGAAAATCGTACCAAATTCAAATATCAGTGTCCACAAATAAAGTTGTATTGAAACATGGCCACATGTTTGTTTGCATTTTACATATGGCTGCTTTGGTGTTATAACTGAAAGGTTGAGTCATTGTGATAGGCCCTGTATGACGTATAGAACCTAAAATATATGGCCTCTGACCCTTTACAGAAAGTGTCCTGACCGCTGGTCTAGAGACATACAGCCTCATTATAAGATATTTGTTTTCAAGCTAGTGATAGTCCCCTCAGAACCCAGTTTTCTCATCTGTTAAATGAGTGTAATATCTGGCCTATACAATGGCAATTTTAAAATGATAGAAAAATAGGTGCAGGCACTCAACACACAGCCTGGAACACCTACATGCTCAGTAAATGGAAGCTTATTACCAGGATGCGAGCCTAGGCTCTCGTCACACTCATTGTGGTTTGTGTGCCCAGCTGGAGAAACGAGAAAAGGTCTTCTTGTCACCGGGTACCACTTTTGCCATGGAGTTTTCAAGTCACAGTTCACAATGGTAGAGAGCTGCTGCTGGGTGACTCTGGCTCTTCCCAGTGGAAAGGGGCGTGCAATTGGTGGGAAAGCGCCTGTGTCACAGCCTCAAATCCATCAGTGAGATCTGGGTGTTCCCTGTCTCTTCCAGCAGTCTTGTTTTCCCACTACAGTCCTGTAGACTGGGGGATACTGGGTCTTCTTCACATAGGCACTGGTTTGGTCAGTCCCACAGCCAGCTCTTCAGGTGTGCTCCCATTCCAGACCCCTGGGCCCATCGTTCTCCTCGGCACCTCAGACCATTATTCCATCTGCTCATTTCTTGGTTTGAGATGTGTATTTACCATTGGACACTGTCCTAGCTTCTCTGTTGCTGTGATAAACACCATGACCCAAAGCAAGTTGGGAGAAGAAAGGGTTTATTTCAGCTTGCACTTCCCAGTGACAGTTCATCCCAGAGGGAAACCAGAGCAAGAACTCAAGGCAGGAACTGGAGCAGAAACCACAGAGGAAGGCCTCTTTCTCTCTTTTCTTTCTTTTTTTTATAATTAAATAAAAATTAAGACAAGGTCTTGTGGCTGGACATGATAGCACACACCTTTTATCCCAGCACTCTAAAGGCAGAGGCAGGCTCTGTGAGTTCAAGGCCAGCCTGGTCTACATAGTGAGTTCCAGGTCAGCTGGGGCTACAGGGACACCCTGTCTCAAAAAGTAAAAAATAAATAAATAAATAAATAAGGTCTCACTGTGTACCCCTGGCTGGCCTGGAATTCACAGAGTTCCTTCTGTCTCTGCCTCCTGAGTGCTGGAATCAAAGATGTGACCAGCCCTCTTCTATTGTTCTTGTACCACCCAAGCCCACCTAAGGATGGTGCCGCCCACACTGGGCTGGGCCCTCACACATCAATCATCAATTAAGACAGTGCCTCACAGACAGGTCCACAGGCCAGTCTGATCTAGGCAATTGAGGGTTTTATTGTAAATTTGACACCACTGCCTACCGAGACCAAAGCCTGGCTTCTGGGAATGAATGAATGAATGAATGAATGAATGAATGAATGAATGAATGAATGAATGAATGAATGAAATGAATGAGAGTACACAGGTCACCTGGGTTTCAGTTGCTGAGGACTTTTGAATAGGCAGACAGAAGCTGGATAGCTCTGGATCATGGGGGTCTGCATTTAAATTCCAGCCCTGCCACAATTGGCTTTTTGACCATCAGTGAGACACCTAATCTCTTGACACTTCACTGTCCTAGTGTTTAAAGTGGGGATAATCCCCCTTGCAGTGCCTGCCACATGGAGACGTCATACTCCGGGCCCTGTTTCCTTATCTGCAGCACAACCCTGCCCCAGAGTGGAAATGGCCAGCTTCCCAAGGGCCTGCTCTTGGGGCTGTCCCAGACCAGTCAGAGGGAGAAAGTGGATGGGAACCCTAACACCAGGAGAGAACAGAGACCAGTCCAGTGCTGAGGAGGGTACTCAAGACCTGCCTCCCCTGCTGGAGGCTCCCCCGCCCCCTCCTGGGGGCGTGGCTCTGCCCGGAGGTGGCATCCTGTGCTTTTTACCTCAGCAGAATTAATGTCCTTTAAGGCAGCTCTTCAAGCTGGGGACATTTGAACTCGGGTGTGTTGGCCCTCTTGCGCTGTCCTCCCCTGAGCTGTGGGGTGGATGGTCCTCCAGCCCCAGTTATTGTCTACAGAGCTGCTTGCAGCCTCGCTCCGGCCCCAGCTCCACCCCTTGCTGCAAGGTCTGTTTCCTAACAGCTGCTCCAACCACACACCTCGGTTCTGCAGGAGCCCCTCCTCTTCCTCCCTCCCTCATTCAGGGTGGGTGGGACTGAAGGACAAGGCTAACTTGACAGCAGCGCTTCTTTTTTAGCTAGTCACCGGCCCCTGCCCAAAATGCCTGTGTATCTGTAGCCTGAGAAGGAGAGGGTTCCCGGGGAGTCCCGAGGGGCCAGGAGCTTCCGAGAACCAGGGAGGAGCCGCCCCAGCCATGTGCCCCTGCGGGAATCTGCCAGGGGGCCAGGGGCCTGGAGTCCTCTCTCTCCCACTGCTCCAGAGGCAGAGGTGAGCACCCGGCCGGCCCAGAGGTGCCACAGCCCAGCCTGTCATGGTGGCGGTCTGCAGCCGGCCTGAGGCACTCCCAGTCGGGTTTGCAGCTGAGCCTGTTTGTCTGGTGTGGGAAGAAGATGGGGAGTTACTTGTCTGTCCCGGCTTACTTCACCTCCAGAGACCCCTTTAGGTGAGTCTCCTCCCTGGCCCCTGGTCCCGAGGGGAGGGCAGTGGCCTTCCTGTTTCTCCTCTGACTTCACTTATCCCTTGACCATTGGTTCTACCAGGCAGAAGCAGAAGAGCTTACACCAGAGCAGAAGTGGCCTGGTGAAGGCCACTCCTGTGCCCCGGAGACGTGGAGGCAAAGAATGAACACAGAAGAAGCCCCTGGGGAGCCCTGGTTCCCCTTCCCAGACACACCTTAGTGCTACTGTTTCTGGGGAAAGCACAAATGGGGTGCTGTTCTTGTAACTCACATGTCTTACCCACAGGCTGTGGGGCCTGCCCAGGAATTTGTCCAAACAAGCAGGATGGGCAGGTTTTGCCAAACTCAAAGCTGGTAGGGCCTGGGTGTGGGTAGCCTGGTACACACTGGGTTATGGTATAAGCGTTTGTTCTCCTAATGACAGGTACATTTGCCCCTGGCCTTGGAGGGCTTCTGAGCTCACAGAAGAGTGGGGTTTCTGGGGTGTCCTGTCCCCAGAACTGAGTGTCTGCAGGGGTAGTGCCTCTATGGGGCTTCTCAGAGGGAAGTGTAGAAACTTTCTTCCTCGACCTGTCTTTCTTTGCCCCACCCCACCTCCAATAGAAACTCCCCAGGGGGTTTCTGGCCCTCTGGGTCCCTTCTGAATATAGCCATTCCTGACTGGGGTGAGGCTTGTTTCTATTCTTTGGGAGTTGTTGTTCCAAGGGCTACCTCCCCCTCATCCCAGTGGTCCTGTTTAACTGTTTTTAGCTTCCCTAACCCATCTTGGTGGCTAGATCTCACTACTAGGATACTAGCCCGGTGTCTGTTCCTAGTCAGACAATGCAGGCTACCATGTTTCACTGAATGACAGCCCCCTTGTAGACTGGTGGAAGCATCCTGACTTGAGAGAGGGGAACTGGTCATGGCTACTGACCATAGCAAGCATCCTGCTAGGCACTTTATCCTTTCATCTTGCAAGTCTAAAGAGATTATGTAGCTCCCTTTTACAAATGAGGCCACCTGTTTCAACAGAGGTAATGTGCAAGATCTCCCTAGCTGGCTGGTTTTGTCTTTCAGGACTTTTCTTCTTTGGGGGTGGGGGCTGCTGCTCCCTCCCTCCATGTCTCCCCCAGAGACCTGTTCTCAGGTTTGCTTTCCTCTCCCAGCAGAAAGCAGGGAGAAGGGATATTTGTCCAGCTTATTGAAGAGAGTCTTTTCTGCATTACCTATGAGAGTTGATCTTAAGTTTAGAAGGTAGATTTTACCTCCTGGAATCAAAATGCCAAGTGTCACAGTAGCCACTTGTTCAGGTCCTCAATGTACCTCTTAGTCCTGGAAAGGCATCTCAGGGGAAGGGTTGTTCTTTAGCCACTAGAACAGTGTGCCCTTTTGAAGCTTTGTGGTGATCTCTCCTGGAGTCGGAACTAGAGCACATAATGAACTTTCAACGTGGACTTTTGAGGACCAGGTTCCCAGGGCCTCCCAGGTCCAACTGTCCTTTGTCTTATTCTGCCCTGGCCTCTCTGGGAAACCTGATGACCTCACCTCCATTCCCCCAACCTCTGTTTGCCCAGCTGGAGTCAAAGGACACTGACTTGCCATAGACCCTCTGCCCTCTCCTAAATGAGAGGCCACATTCCTGAAGCACTACTGAAGCCAGCACACAGCCTGGGCCTGGGGGAAGGGACCATCCAGACCTGCTTTCCAAGGTTTCAGGCTAAGTCATTACCTGGTCATAAAGCTACCTTTGCTGTCAGCTCCTCCTTTATTGTAGGGCACCTTGAAGCTCTCCTCTATGACCAGTACCTGTCCCCTCCTGAGGCCTCAATTTGCTCCTAGGCAGAATGCAGGGATTAGACTTCCTGGGCTCTGAACCAGAACCCTTTCTGGATTCTGTCAAACAAGTTAAGTCCTTGACCTTTAGGCCTCTGGAGGAGTAAAGTCCATAGGAGTTCTGGGGTTGTGGTTGCAAGGAAGGTGATGCAACCAGATTCCATGGGGACGTGATCAGGCGTGACCATGTGAGGGAGGGGAGAGGGAGCAGGGAACAAAGAGTATAATTTCTGTGTCCTGCACACCTCTGCCTGGCAGGCCTCACTCTAGCAGAGAGTGCATCATCTTCCCTGCCCGTGCCACTGATGTGAGGGCCATGATGTAATCTTAGGGGTGCTCCCAAGCAAGGAAACACCTCAAATTGAAGTTTACAGAAGAGGTAAATTAGGGAGTGACTTTTCTTGTGTGGTGCTGGGGATTAAACCCAGAGCCTTACACATTTCTAGGCCAGAGCTCTACTGCTGAGCTATATCCCTAGGCAAGGGAGCAACAGTGTCTCACATCTTTAAAGGAATTCCGTTTTATAGAATTTCCCTTAATGTCCAACATTGATTTAATGAGCTTGGTTTATACATTATCTCTTGGAAACAAGCACATCTTTGTATTCTAAAGCAACCCATGTTTAAAAAGAAAAATTATTCAGCTTAGCAGTAAACTTTGGCAGCTGCCTTTGGTCTTTTGAGACTGTCTTCATCTGAAAAATGAAGGACTTGGATCAGGTGAATGGTTTCCAACTCTAACTTATTTGGCTCCGTGAATATACAAACTTCTTTACCTTTTTTTTAAATTCCCAAATAAAGGAAGCCCTATCTTAAGCTGTGGCACAACTGCACAAATTACTTGAACCTACAGGTTTCCTGGTTGTTGGTTGGAACTACATCAGCACACCCTGGCAACCACTTCTTGCTGAGAGGTTTGGTTATTTGAAAAAAATAAATAAATAAAACAACAGGATGACAACAAGGAGCTGGAGAGATAGCTTGCCAGTTAAGAGCACTGGCTGCTATTGCAGAGGACGCAGGTTTGATTCCCAGCACCCACATGGTGGCTACCAACTATCTATAACTCCAGTTCCAGGAGGATCTGATGCCCTCTTCTGGCCTCTGTGGGTATTTCATGGACAGGTGCTTTTTGGCCATGCACATGCACATAAAATTTAAAAATAATAAAAAAGACAGGATGACAACATATTCCATAATGATTACAGTTTAGTTGACAGACTGTTTCAATCCAATCCCCAGGTCTACAGGAAGAGGCAATAAAGGGCTCTTTGGTGGTCAGAGCCTGGACTCTGGTGGACCAGTATCTGTAGGCCCCTGTCACACCTGCCCCTCTGGGCCCTGGGGGACAGTTGGCACCCCTTCTCATGGTCCTCCAGGCCATGGCAGAGGCGCTTCTTTTTCTTTTCAGCCTAGTCCAAACTCAGAAGCAAGAGGCTGGAAAGAAGCAGCTGTAGCTGGCTTCTCAGAGATTAAGGATGAGCATCCAGCCCGGCCTTCCCTGGGACATGGGAGGCTCATTCTTTAATATATGTAAATCTGCAGAAATGATGACTCTTCAGTTTCCTTACTCCATGCGGTTGAGAATTTATCTGTAAACACTTGGGTGTGTGTGAAGGTGGGGCTATCTCATTTGACTTTTCCCAGCACAGCGCCTGTTTGTTCTCACACATTGTTGATGTAGTCATGATGTCCTGATTGATAGGGATCAGTTAGGTTTTAGAGCCTTCCTCTACTTACAGAACCCTGTTTGGTAAGAAGCAGACTTCATTGCCCCGGCATGGGAATGAGAAAGGTCTGTGCCCGTTTGGCCTTGCTGTTCTCAAATTGGAGTGAATACTTACTGGCCACCTGCTGTGGGCGCAGCTTCATGTGGGGCATTTTATACCTCATGTAATTTTCACAACTCTAAGATGTTAGATGAGGTACTGAGAGCCATTAGTAACTGGCCTTAAGTGGTAGGTAGGAAGTGACAGCTATTTGTGAAAAATCTCTGCTGATTATTGATGTATTCTCTGCAAATTCAGATCTGAGTTTGGATCCACACTGACCCACTGAAGTGACCACCAGATTCTCATTCACTTTGTGTCTGGCCAGGTCATCTGTAATGTTTTAGAAGAGAGGTTTCTAGATAAAACTTCTGTATGTGGCCTTCTCTGTCATCTCCTCTGAAGTTAAAAAAAAAGGTTTTTTAAAATTTTATGTGTATGAGTGTTTTGCCTGCATGCATGTAAGTGTACCACATGATGTATGCAATATCTGCAGAGGCCAGAAGAGGGCATTGGATACCCTAACACTGGAGTTATAGATGGTTGTTAGCCACCATACAGGTGCTGGGAACTGAACCCAGGTCCACTTGCAAGAGCAGCCAGTGCTCTTAACTACTGAGCCATCTCTCCAGCCTTTCTCTTAAGGTTTTTAGCTCTATATACTCTGACAGGAGACTTTGGTGACCATAAACCTGAGCCCTGAGCCCTGACTCCAGCTTTAACGCTCCTAGCTGGGTGCTTTAGGGTCTGTAGCCAGGGCCAATTTTGACTTTTACTTAAAGCTTTCAAAAACTGAAAGCTAGGGGGAAAAAAATGCTTTAGCTTTGGAAAGAACACACAGTAGTCATGGCTTCTGAGAGTCTGTGGTGGTACCTTGCATTTCCAGAGTGTGTTTTGGAGCCCTTAATGGACAGACACAACTACTAGGGAACAGAACACTGGTAAATGGCTGAGAATTAGTGGTACCATTTGACATTAACTGTTTGAGCTAAAGGAGAAGTAGAAGTATCATGAAGGGTTAGCACTCAGACATGAACGGTCAGGGTTCCAGGCTCCTGGATGGCAGAGACAAGAATCCTGAAGCCTAGCTGTTAAAACAATGCTATGCCACTCAGGTGCGCTACGGTGGAGATGGCTTCCTAGCCAGATACACATGGGTTCAGGTCCCAGCATCATCACTTATGTGGACAACTTTCCAAAATAACTTGACTTTGCCTTTGCTTTTTGGCCTTCTGATCTGTAAAACAGGGATGATTCTTTCACCTTGCACAGTTTGGATCAGGATTAAAGATAATATAAGGAAGGTACCTCATACAGTGTCTAGGGTATGGTTGGCATTCAAGTAACAGCAGATATTGTTAATATCTAAGCTCCAACTTTAAAGTTTCCAGTGACCTGAGCCCACTTGTGTTCTGTGACAAAAACGGAGCTGAAGGGACCTATAGCCAATCTGTCAGCTATTCACCTTCCTGTTCAGAGACACCTGTGGGGGTGACTGACTTTGGCTATGTTAGCTGGCTCTACCCTTCAAAGGCATTCCCTGACACAGACATGCCTTGGTGATGTCGCACTCCAGCCAGGTGTTATTCCCAGCAGATTGTTGTGGCTGTCTCCTTCATGCCTGCACTCGTTTCTCTGCCTGCTCCCTTGCCTGGCTAGAGCTGCCTGCAGTGAACAAAAGCAGGATATTGGCAATAGAAAGGAGGGTGTGTTCTGGTGCTCCCATGCCCTGCGGTGGCGCACATACCATTGAGAGGGTGTAACAGAGCCCAAGCCTGCAGTTGGGTGCAAATATGTCTACACTAGCTTTTCTGTACCATTGACTGGAGAGACAGGGAACCTTTGTGCTCCCACCTGGGCTGCTGGCTCTTGCCACTCCTGCATCATTTTCTGTTTGAGACATCTGCTGCTGCCTATTCTGCCTAGCCCTTGGCTTAGAGGCTGAGTGTACCAAGAATAAATAAGATATTGCCTCTGTACTTCACAGTCTGGTGTACAGGAAAGGTGCTTAGGAGCATTAAGGCAGAAGGCAGGAAGGACGCCCTTGTTTCTAGTGCTGGCTCCCTGATACACACCTCACAGTCATTAAGAACCACATTTAATCCACATGCCACCCTGAGAGTTTGTGACCATGGTACCGTTTCACAGATGAGAAAGGGACTGGCCCGGGATCACTTGGGTGGTGGAGTAGTTCTGAGACTGGAGCCTCAGGTCTAGGAAAACAGACATAGCAAATTGAGGGGTCCGGGGGATATTCTGTCTATCATTTGATAAGTGAGGAAACAACCCACAGAAGGAAAGGGGTTTGTCCAAGGGTATGTAGTGCCCAAGAACTTGAACTTGGCTCTCCTGATTGAGAGCTCATCATGCTTCTAAGGCCCTTCATATGCATGTGTTCTCTATATCACGCCTAGTTCACAGGAGCCTCATAAGACAGGTAGAAATGCCTCAGAATCAAAATAACCAGCTAGTGTATCTGAGCACCCAGGCGGATTGAGCACTCCACAAAGACAAAGGGCTGGGTGCTGCTTCCCCAGCCTCCCTAGCTCAGCCTCCGCAGCTTTCCACAGCTACAACCTGCCTATCTCCTTCTATCTCGAAGTGCCCAGAAGGAGTAGCACTCACTGTGGCCTCTCACCTTGCATCATTTTGTTTAGGCTGTCTCTTCCAGAAATTGGGGTAGGGCACTTCGGATCTGTCTCATATATCTGCATTGCCTAGCAAGTTATTATAACTTACCTTGCAAAATGCTTTCTCATATATAAGTTAACTTATTCAGTCCTCAAATTGACTTCTTATAATAGGGTGCTATTAGTTATATTTGGTCAACAAAACTTCCAAGGGAACTTGTATAAGCTGGACATGGTGGCTCAGGCCTGTAATCCCAGCACTTGGGAGACTGAGGCAGGAGGATTGCTGTGAGCTTAAGGCCAGCCGGAGCTATATACAGAATGAGACTATCTCAAAAAACAAAAATAAAGGTTATCCAAAGCTACCCACCTAATAACGGTGACTATCAAATAATATATGAGCTTCCATTACTTATCTGTGTCATTTTTAATTGCAGTTAACATTTATTGTGTTCCTATGATACCAGACCTTTATATAAGCTATCTCTATTCCTTCAATATATATTGTTTCATTAATTTTCACAACAGTCCATTTTATAGATGAGGAAATGATCAGAGAAGTAATTGCCCAACGTACTGACCAGGCATAATTAGTAAATGTAGGACTGGTCCTCCCAGGGGACAACCCCATGCTCTCTCTGAGAAGCAAAAATGTAGCTACTGTACATGGCACAGTATCTTTGACACTTGGCATAGGAAGTCTAGCTGGCACAGTGGTCGATGCCTGTAGTCCCAGCTACTTGAGAAGCAGAGGCAGAAAGATCCCTTGACCCCACAACCAGACTGGACAACATAGTAAGACCCCATCTATAAAAAAGAATGCAGAGTCTAGCTAGAAGGAAGGGATGGTTAGTGGTCAGGGAGCTTTTAGCTTTGTACACTGGAGGCTTAGAAAGGAGGAGGAGGCTGTCTGCAGACAGGGCCCAAGAACCATTGACTGAGAAGTGAAGTTTCCTAGGCATGTGACAGCAATTATTCTTATATCTAAGAAAATTAATAAAAATTTCATAATATAATCTAATAGATAGCCCAAATTAAAGTTGTTACCAAAATTATTGCTCAAAGCTGTTTCCTTTTTCAGTTTAAAGTTAAATCTAGGCTAAGGTGTTGGTTACTATGTCTGTGGGCTTTCTCAAATCGGTGTGTATGTACGTCAGTTTGTCTTTGCACCCTCATCAGAAAACATTAAGAACCTTTAATAAGGTTCACAACTGAAAAGCAGCTCACATTTCATTGGAAATCACACTAAAAAGTATTTAAAGCTGTTTACACTATAATGCTGAAACTTATAAAGTGAAAAAATAAGGTATAAATAAGCTCTATGGAAAAATCTTTTTTTTTTTTTGAAACAAGGTCTCCCTGTAGCCACAGCTGACCTGGATTCGCTAATGGAGACCACCTGCCTCTGCCTCACAGAGCTCCACCTGCCTCTGCCTGCGGATTAAAGGCCTGTGCCACCACACCCGGCTTATGGAAAACCCTTAAATTGTCAGAAAAGAATTCTGGCTCCTATTACCAAAAAATGTAGAGAGAGAGAGAGAGAGAGTGTGTGTGTGTGTGTGTGTGTGTGTGTGTGTGTGTGTGTGTGTGTTGGTATCAGTGCTGTTCTAAAACCTACAACTCCAACTCAAGTGGGCTTTTTCAGAATTTGTCCAGTAGTTGGAGGCCAGTTTGGACAGCATTGTGAGAAATAACTTGAGACTATCTCAAAAAAGGAGAGAGGAGAGAGAATGAATATGAATGATGGGCAGAGTTGAAAGCCATCCTTGGCTACGTAAAGAGCTTCAGGCCTGCCTGGGATACCTGAGATCCTATCTCAAGGAAAGAAGGGAGGAGAAGGGAAATAGAAAAAAAGAATGTGCCTGAATTACAATATATACTTGTATGAAATTTTTCAAAAATATATTTTAAAATCAGTGTGGCACATATGCCTGTAATACTTGCACTTGTAAGGTGGAGGCAAACAGATCAAAAATTTAAGGTCATCCTCAGCGTGGGCTGCATGAGACCCAGTCTCAAACAAATAAAACCAAACCAAAGCAAAAAAAAAAAACAAAAAAAACCCTGTCTGCACTCACTCCCCATATCAACATCTTAGAAGAGTTAAAACTTAATTACCTTATAGAGTGGTCGGCATTCTGGATTTGCCTAATGAATCTTATTATGCTTAACTTTTTTTTTTCCTCCTTAAGAACATCATAATTTCTTGAGTGATGACTTGGTTTTGAAGTATGGAAGTGATTGAACTTCTGTCAGTTATTGAACCATCTGTCTAGATCAAAGGTTCTTACCTGGGGCCATGTGTGGACCTGAGAGACTCCTTGATACCTGCATACCCCATAAATAAATTATACATACATCTTCCTTACATGTGAATTTTTCTGGGGGAGGTTTCTTGGCTATTAGTGAGTTCGTAGAGGACTTCAGGACCCAAAGCCTCTGTTCACTGAGGCAGGCAACACCAGCTGGTTTCTGGAGCCTTGTTCATTCTGAAGTGACTTTCCTTGGGGAATTAGCACTAAGCTGTAACTTTCTTCCATCCTGGCTTTGGTAGAAGAGAGGACTGTCCATTTTGTGGTCACACCAGGGAGCTGTGCACAGCCTATGGGCCTGGTTTCCGAGATCCAAGAGCATTTCTTTTCTTGCCCTGCAGATGTTCAGAATGCCAGGATTCCCTCACCAACTGGTACTATGAGAAAGATGGGAAGCTCTACTGCCGCAAGGACTACTGGGGAAAGTTTGGGGAATTCTGCCATGGATGCTCCCTGCTAATGACAGGGCCTGTCATGGTGAGTGAGCCCCTGCACCTCTACCCCTGTTGGTCATTACACCCACTTCCAGTTCCCCATGGCCATTCATTCATCTTTTAGGCTCTCATCAGCAAGGACATCTCCCTTTATTAATTCATTCAATCATAGGAGTCTCTTGAGCCCTTATTAAAAGACAGTTTCGCTCCTTCTCTCTGTTTGATCTGTGATAGCTGTGCTCTCAGTTTTGAATGAATGAGTTTATTAAATATATAGCAAACAAACATAAAAGAATACATAGTGAGTAGCAGATAGAAGCAGCAGATAAATAGCAGACATCACCATTTCAGACCTTTATAACGTCCAGCAGAGACAACTGAGGTGGCCCAATTGAGAGAGAGCAAGCAAAAGGTTACATCCTCAGATCTGGGACTTACAAACATCCAGCAGAAATAGACTGGGGCAGCCCCATTGAGGGAGCCAGCTGAAATTCTCAAAGGAGAGCGTCCTAGGCAGTCATATGTCTCCTCAGGTACAGCTTCCAAGTGAAAGAACAGATTACTGCAGAAAAACAACATCAAATTGAGCACTCACATCATCCAGCAGAAACTGACTAGGGAAGCTGAGGCAGCCAACTGGCGTCCCTAACAGCGTGCTCTCCTTGGCTGAGCGCCCCATGACTGAACTTCCAGCTTCTCTTTCCCACTGCAGGCTTTTTTATCTCATGAGATAATAATAACCAATTGGGAGTGGTTTACCTTCTCACTATTCTCAAAGACAAAGTTTTAACTTGTGGGCTGTTTTCTTCCCTCCCTGTCACACAGTTAAGGGTTCTTGGAGAACCCTTTGAGGCAAACATGCTTGGATGTGAAATGAAGTGACCAACCCCCTTTCAGAGCTAGCTTCTCAGTGAGCTCAACAGCCCATGACAGTTTACCATATAATGTACTCAAAGACTTTACAGTGCACTGTTGGGAGTATGGGTAGGCAGGAAGGAGAGGTGCCATAGAGTGGGATGAGAGCCTTAAAGGAGAGTATGGCTGGTTGAAAAGAGGATACACCTCTGTCATGTTCAGGGACTCCAGTGGAGAGAACTCAGAAAGGGCTGGCAGAGAGAGGTTCTACTCCATAGCCACACTGCACAAGGAATTCGAGCACAGGCAGAATTACCAGCTCTGCTGGAGGAACTAAGAATCTTTCCAGAGGAAATAATTACTTTTGTTTGTTTGTTTTTTGAGACAGGGTCTCCCTGTAGCCACAGCTGGCCTGGAACTCACTATGTAGACCAGGATAGCCTTGAACTCACAGAGATCCGCCTGCCTCTGCTTCCCAAGTGCTAGGATCAAAGGCATGTGCCACCACACCTGGCGGGAATGATTACTTTTGAGGACATGTTCTCATGACTAAAACCAAAACAGTTTATTTTGGGTTTTTTTTTTAATGTCAAAAATGACAGAAAGTATCTATCTGACACTTCCTCTGGAAGGTCTAGGGCAGAAAGTGAAAGACTGGACTTGGACTAGATCTGCAGATCTTTACTTCAAAAAAGTGGATTTTAGCGGCTGGGATCAGAATTCCCTAATTAGAGGCCACTCACCTACCTCCATCCACTCTGACAAAAATGATAACCCCATTCTGTGCCCTTCCCATCTGCCCACAGGTGGCCGGGGAGTTTAAATACCACCCAGAGTGCTTTGCCTGCATGAGCTGCAAGGTGATCATTGAGGATGGGGATGCATATGCCCTGGTGCAGCATGCCACACTCTACTGGTAAGATGGTGGCCCTGTGTTCCTTCCCAGTAAGAGCAGCCAAGAGAAGACAGGAAGCATTGTGAGTTGGATGGAAAGACTACTGGAGTGGTCAGAGCTCTGGATTGCTATCTAGAGTAGTGCTATTAATAGAATCTCTTTTCCTCCATCCTGACCTCACAGGATGAGCCCCACATTAAAGCAAAGACCCCCCCCCCTTAGAGCTCACCCACCCACCCTATCTACATGTCTTGATCAACAAAAGAAGTCAGCTGGAGACTGGGAGGAGGACAGAGGCTGGGGCAAGGCTCTTACTGTAAGTAAAAGCAAGGGCAAGAAAACCCAGACCATATCACTCCTCAGGCCAGGGTTCCTCCCAGCATTCCACCTGTTGCCGTCCCAGCTTGCCACCCAAGTCCTAGAATCATTCTGAGCAGCATTGAGACTCATAGCAAAGAGAGTACTGGTGAGCTGGACATGGTGGTGCATGCCTTTACTCCTAGGGCTCGGGTGACAGAAGTGGGTAGATCTCTGTGAGATTGAGGCCAGCCTGGTCTACATAGGGAATTGTAGGCTAGCTCAGGCTACAGGGAGACCCTGTCTCTAAAGAAATAAATTAATACAGAGAAAGAAATATTAAGGCTGAGTATGTTGCTTCAAGCCCTTTGCTGCAGTGGCTGCTGGGGGCTTCCACATGGGCCTGCATGGTCTCATCTCCCTTTGTGCCTCTCTCCCCAGTGGGAAGTGCCACAATGAGGTGGTGCTGGCACCCATGTTTGAGAGACTTTCCACAGAGTCTGTCCAGGATCAGCTCCCCTACTCCGTCACGCTCATCTCCATGCCAGCCACCACCGAGTACAAGCGTGGCTTCTCTGTGTCTGTGGAAAGCGCCTGCTCCAACTATGCCACCACCGTGCAAGTGAAAGAGTGAGTATTGTGAGAGCCTTATAGCAGAGGTTCTGGATCAGCACCCACGGGGGAACTGTACAGGGCTCAGAGCTCTGAAGGGACTTCCTGGAGCTCCCTTCATCCTCACTTTTACCTTTCTCCTGATGTACCCTGTGCTGCAGCCACACCTGGGCCTTGGCACTTACTGTTCCCTCTGCCCAGGCTGCTTCCCACCAGATACTTGAGGCTATATTCTCATCAGGTTTCAAACTGTGTTTGCTCCCTGATCTGGCTTGATGTGTATTAGCTTGATTATCATCTGTCCTCCCCACTAGACTGTGGACTCCAAAAGGAACTTGCTTTGTCTTGTTCATACTGCCTGCCAGGGCCTGGCATTAGTAGACAGCCGTTGTTTGTTGTTTCATTGGTTGAGGGTATGAGTGGAGGAAGGAGAAAATGGTATCCATGACCTGGTTCTAGACCCAGGACTAGAGGAGAGACTGTGTTCAAGGAATACCAGTAATGAGATATTGGTGCTCCATTACCCTATGAAGCTTAGCTGTAGTTTTTCTTTTGTTTTGGTTATTTATTTATTTATTTATTCTTTTTGAGACAGGATCTCCCTGTAGCCCCTGGTGGCCTTGAACTCATACTGATCCACCTGCCTCTGCCTCCCGAGTGCTGAGATTAAAGGTATGTACCACCACTCACAACGTTTTTTTGTTTTGTTTTGTTTTTCAATTTTATTTTTTGTTGGTGGTCTTTTTGAGACAGGGTGTCCCTGTAGCCCCAGCTGTCCTGGAACTCACTATGTAGACCAGGCTGGCCTTGAACTCACAGAGATCTGCCTGCCTCTGCCTCCCGAGTGCTGGGATTAAAGGAATGCGCCACCACGCCCAGCTTTGGTTTTTTTGGTTTTTTTTTTTTGTTTTTTTTTTTAATGTATGAGTGTATTATCTGTATGTATGTAAGTGCACCTGTGTTGTACAATGCCCACAGAGGTCAGAAGAGGGTGTCAGATTCCCCTGGAACTGGAGTTATATGGGTGCTGGGTACTGAACCCAGATTCCCTATAAGAGTAGCCAGTGTTCTTAACTACTGAGCCATCTCCAGCCCCAGTTGTAGCTTTTTTTAAGATTCCTTCTTTATTTTATGTATATGAATGTTTTGCCTGTGTGTGTGTGTGTGTGTGTGTGTGTGTGTGTGTGTGTGTACACTACTTGTGCTCCTGGTGTCCACAGAGGGTAAAATCTCCTAGAACTGGAGTTAAGGGAGGTTATAAGCTGGCATGTATATGCTGGGAACTGAACCCAGGTCCTCTGCAACAGCAGCAATTGCTCTTAACCACTGAGTCATCTCTCCAGCCCTGAAAATTTTTTGTCTTTTAAAGACAGGATCTCCCTGTAGCCCTAGCTGGCCTAGAACCCATGGAGACCTGGCTGCCCTCAAACTCACAGAAATATGCCTGCCTCTGCCTCCTAAGTGCTGGGATTAAAGCCGTGTACCACCATACCCAGTTCTGAAAGTTTGGGGTTTTTTTTTTAAGGAAGAAAGATTCATTTTGGTCCACAATCCAGATTTTAGTCCATGGTCATTTGGCTGCATTGTTTCTGGGCCTGTGTTGAGATAGTAAAGCTGCTCACCTTATGGTGACTGATGGGCAGAGGAGGAAAGAAAGAGGAGAGAGAGTGCTCTGTAAATATTGATACTTGCTGTCTGTTGGATGTGAAGCTGAATCTTGTGGTTAGGCTAGGTCAGTGGTTACTAGGGTTGAGAAGTCGGGAAGAGGTAAGGTCTATTCTATAGCCTCAGTGGATGAAAAAGGGAGGGAATTGTGTTAGGGGCAAAAGGAGAAATGTCTGCAGAGGTTGGAGTCTGTGACTGTGTTTAGTGTAGGTTGAGAGTAACCCAGGAGATGGCTGTTAATCATGGAAGGCCATGACTGTGAGGATCCAGCAGATCCACTAAGGGATTTAAGTAGCAAGGTGATATAACCAGATGAGCATTTTAAAAGGCTCACTGGTGTGGAGGTTGGATAGCAGAGGGGAAAAGCCTAGAGGATGGCACACTGTTAGTAGGCTGCTCCAGTAGTCCAGGAAGGAGATGTTGGTAACTATGGTGATGGAGAGAAGGCAGGATTCTCAGAAGTGGGTGGGGGTTGGAGGAAAGAAGGGAGGGATTTGAGGGACCTCCAAATGGGGAAGATGTCCAGGTTTCTGGCTTAGGCCACTAGGTGAGTGGCAGTGCCCTTCACTGAGAAGGTACGTTCTGGGATGGATACTGCTCTTTGGTTGGGTGGCCTGATGTTATGGCCACTGGGCACCTGGCACTTAGTGAGCTTTCCCTCTACAAATGGTCAGGTAAGTTTTTAGGATGCCTTGACCATGCCTCAGCTCTTGTCTGTCTTAGGGTCAACCGAATGCACATGAGTCCCAACAACCGTAATGCCATCCACCCTGGGGACCGCATCCTGGAGATCAATGGGACCCCTGTCCGCACACTACAAGTGGAGGAGGTATAGTGTGTGTCCAGTCTGTCTCGTGGGGGTAATACACAGAAAAGGCCTTCTAGAAGATCCAGCCTTTACCTTTTTCTACCATCTGTTTGTCTTAGCACCGAGCCTATGACTACTAGTGAACTGGGTCAGCCTAACAAGTTCCCAGGGCAGTAGAGGTGGTCAGACAGGTGGGGAAGTGACAAGATGCCAAATAGAGGGCACTAGGTGCTTGCTGGCAACTGGAGGCCACCCATAAGCAAGTTGAGCATTAGTTACCCTCTGGTTGGACTGTTAGCACTGGGTAGCCTGGGATAGGGCAGCATGTAGGAGCCAACCTTACATTGCTTTTGGCCATAGGTGGAAGATGCGATTAACCAGACAAGCCAGACGCTCCAGCTGCTGATTGAACATGACCCTGTCCCCCAGCGTCTGGACCAGTTGCAGCTAGATGCTCGGCTCTCTCCCCACATGCAGAATACTGGACACCCCCATACCCTCAGCACTGTGGACACCAAGGAGAATCAGGAGGGAACTCTGAGGAGACGCTCCCTGAGGTGCCCCCTCTAATCCAGGCTCCTCTGTCTCATGTCTGTGTTGTCTTTTGAAGGCCAGCAGCATTAGAAGGGAAAATGGATAGCCAGGATAGGAGATGAGGATTGTGCTAATGCAGCTGCCCTGTGGGATTCACGGTTCATAGACAGAACCTATGTGCCAAGTTTCCTTAGAAACCAGAGGTTCAGAAATCTGGTATGGTAGTATATTGCTGTAATCCCAGCATATAGGGATCCTCTGAGGCAGGAGGATCAGGAGTGTAAGCTTGCTAGGGCTGTATAGTGAGACCCTATCTGGAAAAAGAAAAAAACAGCTGTGCTCATGTCTGTAATTCCAGACTCGGGAGGCAGAGACAAGAGGATTACCTTGAGTTAAATGACCAGCCTGGGCTACAGTGTGAGGCCCTGTCTCAAAACAGAGAATCTGGCTGGGGAAATGGCTTGGTAGGTGAGACCACTTGTTTTGCAAACATAAGGACTTGAGTTTGGATCCCAGCACCATGTAAAAAGCCAAGGGTGGCTATACACATGCATGTAACCCCAGCACTGTAGGGAACAGAGACAGGAGGACTGGACTGATGGTGCTTGCTGGCTTCCAGCCTTGCTCCCATTCAGTGAGAGATCTGTCTCACAGGAATAAGATGGAAAGATCAATCAGGACAGTTGATGTCCTCCCCTGGCCTCTGCATGTATACACAGCTACAGGCACCTGCGCGCGCGCACGCACACACACACACACACATAGAGGATCAAATTCTGTCCATTAAATTCCTGAGCTAGGCAGGAAATGGCAATGCTCAACCTTAAAGTCCCACAGAGGAAGTGTGGTGCTCACAAACAGAAATAGGGAAACAAGTGGGATCTTAGAAGTATACAAAAATGGTGAAGAGGGACTGGAGAGATGGCTCAGCAGTTAAGAACACTGACTGTTCTTGCAGAAGACCTGGGTTTGAATCCCAGCACCCACATGGCAGCTATCAACTGTAACTCCAGTTCCAGGGGCTCTGACAGCCTCTTCTG